GGTTCGATTCCCGGCTGCGGCGGCTGCATTTCCGATGGAGGCGGAAATGCTGTAGGCCCGTATGCTCAGATTTGGGTGCACGTTAAAGAACCCTAGGTGGTCTAAATTTCCGGAGCCCTCCACTACGGCGTCTTTCATAATTATATGGTGGTTTTGGGACGTTAAACCTCAAAAATCAATCAATCAATCTTAAGATGACAGCTAAACATGTAATCAGCAAGAAATAACAGTTATAGCTTTCACGCCCAAAAGCAAAACCCCTAAGGTCAGGGTGCACACATATACGACGAGAGCGGTAAGCGGATTTGCAGGTTATTCCTGCGCGATTCAGTCTGAACTTCAAGCATAAGTCAGCGCCTTTTGAAAATAGAATCGCCTTCACATAAGCAAGAAATACAAAATGAAATGTATTTTCGATACAAGAAAGCTTGCGGAATAAACCAAACAACACTAACTTTTTGTACACCATAATGGCGTCAATCGCAGCATACCGTTGGGTGTTCTGTCGGTGACGGCGTAGCAGTTTATCGGCTGACGTCATCAACGTCATCCTGTCCGGTCGAAGAAAGCGCTCCAGCGCACTCGCTGACGTTTTGTCTTCTCGCTCGGTAAGGCATTAACATCTGCACAGCAAGCGGTATAATCGGGCTCCTAGACGGCAATATAGACAACTGTGCGCCTGAACACGCCTATCAAAGCACTCCATGCGTGGAGCATCAAAAGGCTAGCGCATAATACACCGCGAGCAGTGGTGTAATTATACTTACACTATTGTAAAGAATACAGCACATATCGTCGCATGCCAACACTTCGATAAATGGTGAAATGTGGAGGGAGGGGGTCTTAGAATGGACGCTATCGCCCCAGTTACTCTGGCGCTGCGATGGTTCAGCGACCACGGGAATGATGAGGAGTACATGGATTTGCCTAGTCTTCGTGTTTGCGGGCCTCGATTCACAATTGTGGTTTCGTTTATTGCTGTGTTTCGGTTTTGATTCGAACGAAAGAACGAACCCGTTCAAACTTCGTGACTCGATTTGAAATGGTAAGCCTAAACTATTAAGGTGGTGAAGTGCAGCTGCTGAACGTTTGCTGATTTTGTTTCACGACAAAACAGCTTCAAGGCACGCGAACATAAACGGAGCCATGCGTTGCAGCTCCCACAGATGCTAGCGCCAGAGTTTGCGCTATAGTGTAACTCAATGCTATATATCGGCTGGGTACACTTCCTGATATCACACAAACCGCAGCATCACCACGTTTCAAAAATAAACTTTTTGCAGCGTGGCAAGAAGAGGGCATCTAATTAACCCTGCTTCAGCACAGAATGTAAACCAGGTGACCTCATTAAAACAACTTGCTGTATTCACCCTTCTTCCATTTCCAATCTGCTAACTCAAACAAAGCGTGAAATAGGAAAGTTTTCAGTTCCCCCGTCGTGGACTGTACTCACGTATCCAGAAAGTCTGCAGCATTTCAAGCGTTTCTTCTCCAGGAATGCAACAAAAATGGCGGCCCATATCGGCCTGTGGTGGCTATAACGCGATTAGCGAGGGAACTGACTTGTGGCCTAAGCCATATTCTGTCTCTCTATATAGATTATTATCACGCTTACACACATCGAAGAAAGGGTGCTCTTCGGCTAACCCAGAGCCACTAAACGTTTATTATCTCACCTCTTTACACATAAAAACGACGATAAGCGCGCACATGAATCTCACGAAGTAAGACGGAGCATTTAGCATTAGCATATGGCTTCCTGGCTGTCGGATAGAAAGTCATCTACTATCTACGACGAGAGTACAAGTCAAGGTACACCCTGACTTCTCGACGTTACTCGTAATTGATGTCATCTCGCCTCGCTGTGAGATTCAAAGTGAGCTCACTCAGGTGCTTCGCCCCAGTTCATCTTAGATGCAAATTTTTCGTTCTTGTTGTCGTCGCGAGGAGGCACAGTTTGCAGTACCAAGCAACGGGGAGGGTTTTGTAATTAAGGCTCTAGAAGAAGTGCCTGTTTACAGAAAAGCAACGCAGAGGAGTCACGATCAATATGCCGCCTCGGCTAATTAGTGCGCCGTGGGTTCTTAATTGTACACCACTTAATAAACAATACCGAACGTCTCAAAACTTTCCTTGTGCTTCTTCTTTGCGTCGCTTCGAAGAAAACCGGCAGCGTTACTACATTGTACTGGCTACAACACTCAATCTCCTTCTGTTTTCAAAGAATAAATGAATAAATCGAGGACAAGTTTCTTTAATCACTTAGGAATTCGTGTACCTAAGAGCCAGCTTCCGTAAACAAAGGTCATGTAAACATGCAAGGGACAATCTTGATTCGCGATCCCGATAATGCTCATTAAAGAAAAGCTCCACATTATAGTAAAAAAGAAAGATTTTGTTTTCGTTGTCCCTCCTGTACAAGAATCATTAAGCGGTGCGTCAGGTCAAGATCATTCACTCGTGGCTCTATTTCAGTAAGCTTTTTTTTTTCTTGACGCACATGAGCTTCCGGCTTTTGAAGGCTGTTTTGCTGGGCCAGTTAATATGATATCATCTTTAAATGTAGCGCAGCAAAAAAACAGGGCCACAGAAAATGAGCACACAGTGAACGTGCGCTTTTTTTTTAGTCTCCATTTCTTGCGCCACATTTATTGAACATTTCTCAGGTGTCACAAAAGACGAGAAAAGTAAACAGAAGATCGGCCAATCGACAAGTACAATATGTAAACTTACTTCTTGTAAAAGTAGTGCATCTCAGGAATGGAGGTTGACGGTGTCAGTAGTAGCCGCAGTGATAGGTGAATAGAATTATCGGAGCGCATCAAACGAAAACACTAAAATGAAGTGTTATCAGCGAAACACATCCGCATTGCACGTATTGGGTTCTGGGGTTTTATATGCACCCCGACCTGAAAGCGAAGCCTGAGTGGGGGATTCTGGAAAAACATCTGCAGCCGCAAAGACACGAGCGAAATCGTCTTGCTGTTTATTGTCCCTTTAAATGCGAGTACCGGCACATTGCGGCTTCCCCTCCTTCACCCTCTTTAACTGCTTTAAAAGTGTTGTTACTTGGGCGAGTTGGAAATTCATACTTGGAAGGGTAGCGCTAGCGGACACGGTCTGAAGGAAGGCACATTGACACACAGGCGAAAATGCTCCAGCTACTGGTTTTTTATTGAAAATCTACCACACATATATTCATCGCTTTTTTAACACGAAAGTGTTTTGTGCTGGTGTCCACCAAGACTTCACTGACGTACTTCCGTCACGGATATGACGTTGTTAAAATTTGCACGTGCAGCATATAACAAATCAACCAGAAAAAAATTTTCTCAATTTTGGAGACCTGAGAATCGTACTCACAACCTTTTACTCCGCAACAATGGGAAGCACGCGTTTAGCCAACTGAGCCAACGGCACACTCGCGAAACACTATTCGGACGCGCCTTCTCAATCTCAGACTCATTCGCTCTGTACCTTCGTTCTTTGTCGGGGCGGTGCCGCCACCTAAGAGCGGAGAAAAGAAGTACTGAATTACGACATTAACTAACGGCAGCCAAGAACGCATGCGGTAGTCTCAGCACTTCGACACCTCGACGCCAGCATTAGAACGGCCGCTAGCATCAGAGCTGCCTACCAACGCCGCCTATAGGTGGCGTTGACTCTACTTCAAAGGAAGTGTAGCGTCGCCTTTGCAATCAGCTGCGGCACAGTTTCCGGGGCTATTTCTGCAGGTCACAAAGGAAGTCTGTAATTGCGACGTGCTCTCCGGTGCGTGCCTCCGTGCGTGCAGTGTCTACGGAGAGTGTTACCGGTGGAGAACATGCACTTCCCGATGTCACCATGTGTGCATCAACACCTAAGGGTGCCGTAGTCGCTAAACACCAATATACATTATGTATCAATGAAAAATAAACATTGAACTACTTCTGTAAAGGCACGTTACACTTTCGCGTGTTCTACCGATTCCTATGTGAGAGAGATAAACCACTTCGTTTTTGTTTGTTTGTTTGTTTGTTTGTATGTTTGTTTGTTTGTTTGTTTGGCCAGGTGACACTTCTTGGATACGTGAAAACGTTTATCTGTTTTGTTTTCCCTGCTCTTTAGCTTGGTTTCAGCTTTGTTTATTGTCTGTTTCTTTTGACACGCTTCTGTTGCAACAAGGAGGTTTCTAATCATGAAAAAACAAGAAGAAAATTATGTACGCATTACAGACGCTCGTATACCAGACATTTACCAGACATTATGGTAGTTCGTATTTATTTCCAAAATCATGAAAGGCATTGTCATGAAACAATGGCTTTAATTAAGGGCACTCTTGGGTATGACTTACGACATATATAACCTGTTTGAATAGCCAGCACGCGTTCGTTCGGATAAGCGACATTGAAAGCACGCTGTGAAGCACGTGCTCTGCTTCTTCCTCGAGCAGTTCTTCATTCCGTGGAGCCACCCTTTTGAGAGAGAGAGAGAGGGAAAGAGAGTATAGGTGTACTCCGCACCTGGTCCTTTTCGCTACATGGTGACTGCTTCAAGATGATTGTTTTTGGCAACAAACTACATTTGCCACCGTCGAGTGTTTGTTATCCCGAAGAGATAAAGCCCTTCGCATCATCTTTCCGCCTTGTTTACCTTCGTCCTCGTCAGAGACGTGACGCCTATGAGATTTGCTGTTAATGGCAAAACAGTTACGCGAAATCCCACGATGTGTTCGACGGTTCGTAAAAGGAAAAAAAATCATATCCCCTCATTTGTAGTTCAAACCTACAACCACTGATTGTATTGATCGTATCATCCATCCCACCACTCTGTCCGGCCTGCCAATCAAACAGACCAGTCAATTATTCAATGGGATCAACAAACTTCTTTATTTAGCATATCAAGAGGTCCCGGTTATACATCCCGGATGAATGTGACAGTTTTAACGCATAAAACGCCCGCAAGCCTTCGTGTGCTCCATGCATCTGACATCTATTGTGGTTGTTCTCCGTTAACCGCAGGAGCTCGGAGGCCCTGGACGCGGAGCCCCCTCCGCCGAGCGCGGTCAAGGGCGTGGCGGCCGCTGGTCAGCGAATGGCTAACGGGCGGGTGGCCAGCGGAACCCCGGACGCCTGCCCGGATGCGCACGTCAAGATCTGCATCGATGTCAGCGAGCCCGGCACCGCCACGCCCAAGAACCAGGACGCCGTACAGTTCTTCCCGACGCCCTCTGCCGGGTGAGTTTGATATGCTTCCGTGGCAACACGTTTATCGTTAACCAAAAGGATGGCCACGCCCGCCTAAAACGCGTCGACAACTGCGATGTTGTTTAACTGCTAAACAAGCTCCCCGCCGAGCACGTGAGCTAATAGAGTCATAAGATAGCTGGAAAAAGGCGAAACACGGCAACACCCACTGGAAGCTGGGTCCTCTAATTAGGTACCACGGAGAAAGCATTTGTTTTCTTTGTATTTTCCTGAAACTGATTACTGTTGCTGATGAGACTCAGAAGGTTCCTTTTGCACCGCTGCTCAAGACTCTTCACACAAATTTTGTGCTGCCGGTAACAGATGTCATCATAAGGGTTATCAGAAGCATTTTCATCCGGTAGGAGCCCTTTCTAGAACGTTCCATTGGTTTACACCAAATAATTTGTTTTGGATACGTGAAGTGTACGAGTCCATGCCTTCTTGTCTGCGGCGTTGACACTGTCTTCATGGTCGCCGCATTAACAAAACAAAACAAGGGTTTGTAAAAGAGGATAAACACTTTAGGTCATGAAGAGCGGTCAAGTGAAGCATGTCGTACACGTCAGCGTTTCGACTGTGCTTCTTTTCATAAAAAAAAAACACTTTCGAACATATCCTTACCTTTGTGTCGGTGTTGTTTGATATTTGCACATGAGTGTGTTTTTGCATATGTGTGCTCGGGTGTTATATTTTCCATGCGCTGCTCTTAATTTTCCTTTTACATATGTGTTCAACCATGGCCTCCGAGATTGCAGGCGTGCGGCGTAGAACCTACCGCGCACCCGCCATCTCGGAGACCATGGTTCAACATTCACTCAAGGGCTAAGGAGTAGCCGGCGCCTTACTTGTGCGCTAACATTTTCTTATATATCATATCAATAAAAAACGAACGCTGGTGCTTCCTAAATTGATTGTTATCATGTTACTGTTCAGGCGTAAAAAATATCGAGATATTGTCGAGATGTTGGTGCGAGCTCGATGCCTTGTTAGACCACTGTCGCGTGACACTCTACTTCACTGACCTGCTGTTCATTTTTTTCAATCGATGTTTTCGCGAACATCAACATCGCACGTGCTACAAACGGCGTATACGTATTCAGCAGTCGCGTTCAAAGCACTTGCATCAAGGAACGGCTGCGACGCGGAAAAAAAGAAACAAAACAAACAGAGGCCATTTCTTTTTTTTCGATCGCCATACCAGGTGTACATGGCGTGGCCTAATGTCATAACAGCTGACCTTCTCGGATACATCGATGTGCGCATGCAGCGCGCTCTCGCGGGCAGCTCAGCATGACTCCTCCCAAGTACGACAACGGTTTCCCGCATGCACGCACTCCGCTTGTGGTGGGGTTCAAAACGAATTGATCGTGCAGACGGACTCCTCGAAATGGTCGCCGCAGCTTTCTTCTTGCATGCCCGTCTCAAGTCCCTGATGGCGTGCTCGACTCGTGCGGTCCGCTTTCAGAACCCGGCGAGCGAAGGGTGGACGGTATATAGTGGCACTATATTTAATGTCCAGCCGGCCAGCAGTCGATAAGGCAGGCGGTCGTTCCTCAAGCAGAGACGCCGACAATGCGCGCGTATAGTTGCCCGGAAGAACGATAGAGCGCATGAGCTAGCATAGCTTCCACGGGTTCTTTTTTTCTGTTTTTGTTTTCACGCACAAGTTTCTTTTCCTTCTCTTCCCTCTTTCTCATCTTTCTTGTCCTCTACCGAATACCCCAGTGTGGGGTAGCCAACCGGATGTGTCTGTCTGGTCAACCTCCCTGCCTTCTCCCTTTTGTTGCTTCCTTCCTTACTTCCTGTTTTATGCCGGGTTCCATTAAGAATAGATCGGCGTCATTTCCATAACGGAAACGATGATTTACCACGTTTTCTTTTTTTCTGGAATCTCAATGAGGTGGCGCTATTTCGTCATTCTCTAAGTTTTGTACATAAACGTAATGCGGCAATGACGCGGTCGCACCACATGTATTTATTTATTCTGCGTATTATTAGCCTACGACGCCACGGATGCCTCCAGAGTGCAGTTTAAACGCGCAACGCCAATGTTTACACGCCATCCCTTTCTTCGCTTGTAATGGCACCAAATAGCAGAACACACCACACCACTGCGTACCAAACATCTGTATTCTGTATTGAAATAGTGTATTCTCCCCCCTCCTTTCACTATAATGCCCTTGGAGGCTGTGGGTATATATATATATATATATATATATATATATATATATATATATATATATATATATATATATATATATATATATATATATATATATATATATATATATATATATATATATATATATATATATCTATATATATATAGTATAAAAAGAGGTCGACAAACGTGCGAAAAAAACACTAGTTTTACTAACGTTTCGGCAGGTGGGCCTGCCTTCGTCGGAGTGAAAAAAACACTAGTTTTACTAACGTTTCGGCAGGTGGGCCTGCCTTCGTCGGAGTGAATTTCACTCCGACGAAGGCAGGCCCACCTGCCGAAACGTTAGTAAAACTAGTGTTTTTTCGCACGTTTGTCGACCTCTTTTTATACTACATTTTCCACCGGATCCATTGAATATCACCCCACCATATATATATATATATATATATATATATATATATATATATATATATATATATATATATATATATATATATATATATATATATATATATATATATATATATATATAAGAGAGAGAGAGAGAGAATGACGTTACGTAAAGCTCCCCGGAGAGACGAAAATTTTGTGAAAGTGAGCTCACTGAACCAGCGAGAGACACCTCAGCGGGCAGCACAATGCATGATCGCGCGCCGTGCACACACTATGAACTCTACTTCTTACATTCATGTAAGAGAGCGCACCACCACTTACCTGGCTGCCACCAGGAATCCACGAGCCAGGTGAAGCCACAAGCTGCCACCTACCCCCAAATAGTGTACCAAAGCGATTTACGGACGACACTTCCGGCTTTTCTGACACAAAAGTGTTTCATGCCGGAGTCCACCATGGCTCCGATGACGTACTTCCATCACGGAAGGGACGTGGAAAAAGATATACTAAGAGATTAAAAACAAAAATTGGCCCCGAATCTGCATGCTACACTGCAAATGTCGTCTAAAAACGACATTTGCAGACGACACGTCGTCTAAAGTCTTGCGTCTGGAGAGAGTGAGCAAAACGTTTATTTGATGTTCTGCGCAAGAAAATCGGTGAATGGTACTCTGGAGGCGCTGCGTTAGAGTGCCTCGAGCGTGTAGCGGAGGCGAACAAGCGCATCAAGGCACGTTAGACACGAGCGACATCTGGCAGTTATCTTCGAAAACGAAGGCGTGCGCGCCCGCGGAGAAAGATGCGCACCTGTCTCGGAGGTGATAAGTTGTAGAACGCAAAGCGACTGGCAGGTGCTACCACCGTGCCATCTTAGCAAAGCGTTGGAAACACTTACCTTTTTGAGCATCGCGTAGCACTGTCAGCGCAGCGCAGTAAACGCTACAGTCCTTATAGTTACTTGTGTGTGCCTCTTCTAGTATAAAGGCAGACATGCAAAACATTGACGTGTTGTTGTGGCGCTTCAGATATGCGCGATAGTTGCTTTTTAATTGACCATCGCACAACTATAAACGCTGAATCTTGAGCAATATTGGCGGGTGCTGCAGATGGGGTTGGCCGTTAGATGCCGTTTGAGGTATCGTTAAGGGTGGACAAACAGACAAATGTACAGACAGACAGACAGACAGACAGACAGACAGACAGACAGACAGACAGACAGACAGGTAGGTAGGTAGGTAGGTAGGTAGGTAGGTAGGTAGGTAGGTAGGTAGGTAGGTAGGTAGGTAGGTAGGTAGGTAGGTAGGTAGGTAGGTAGGTAGGTAGGCAGGCAGGCAGGCAGGCAGGCAGGCAGGCAGGCAGGTAGGCAGGTAGGCAGGCAGGCAGGCAGGAAGGCAGACAGACAGACAGACAGACAGACAGACCAAAATTTTTCCGTCGAAGGTCCCCAAGAAAGACTATAACAAAAGGCAAGCATTAGTGGCACGGAATCAAACCAGGAACCTTTTGACTTTTAGCCCGCGGCGCTGACCACTACACCCCATAACTTACGTTCTTTGGAGTGCTATAACGGCAGTCCATTTATGTACACCATACACCGTTTGGCAGTCCTTCGAAACTTTAGCACGTTTTTGTTATCAGTGGCGAGACGGCGCGATGGGCTCGCGTTGGGTAGTGCAACTGCATATGGTCTCTACTCCGGTATGAACCATTAGCGTTGGGCCTGCTCAGGCCTTGGTCGCCTCCACGAAGTGCCGCCTCTACTGAACAGTCGTTCTCTCCTGCGCGCGAGCTTATCAGACTTGTAATTCGGGAGAGGACGAAGGTCACTTCGCACGCTGCCGCGGCGCGGCCGCGTTTACAAAAGGATGTTGACGCACGACGCAGGAAGAATTGTGACAGTTGTTCGCACTTTGTCCTGTGTGTACTTGTGAGCTCCTTTCGGGCGTCTTTCTTTGTGTTTGAAGAGCAGCGCTTTATGTGTCGAGTTGTCGCAGTTGTTAGTCCGCACTCAACCTGTGTATGCTGATTTCGTGCGTGCTTTCTGCTTGAGGTGCGCACTGCAAGTTTCGAGCTGGCTTGCCGTTCTTAACGTGACATTCTAATCTCTTGCTGTTGCTGAAACAATGCGCAATAAACGCTCAACTACCTCTGTAAAGACACGTATCACTTTCGTGTAATACCGATTTCTATATAGGGGGATCATCCACGTTTTCCTTTTTTTTTTTTCATATGATCACAGCGCGAAACATCTATGCACAAAATGACAGATACCACCAAGCGCTGACTGCAGCTGATTGATTGTCACGCAAAGTGTTCAATGTCTACACGTACACAACGCATAAGCGTGCGCAGGAAGAAAACACAGTAAAGGCAGGTTGATAATGAAAACCACTCCTGGACAGCTGTTAGATATATCACGCGAATTCAGGGAGCGTCATAACAAGGAACACGCGAACGCGTGGCAAATGGCCTCAACCCTGACGCGGTGCGATTCGCCGCGTCAGAAATGAAGTGAAAAGTGCGTCGCGCTCCCGCCAACTTGGTGCTCCGACCTCGATATAATTGTACGATACAGACCGGCAGCCGACAGCGCGTCGCTATCCATTCGCCTATGACAAAGGCGGGAAGGCCACGCAGACCACTGTATACAGCACTTTCATGTGTGATTCTTATGTGGTTCTTAAAGAGAAAAGAAGAGTGAGCCCCGTAACTGTTTGCATCAGAGTGCGACACCTCAACAGTAGCTCACGAGGGATGGGGGTAAGGAGGGATTAAAAGGATAGGATTAAAAAGTATATAGATAGAGAGAGGAAGGAGAGAGTGAGGCGCAGGGACAGCGAACGACAAAAAAACGACGGAAGTAAGGAGGAGATAGGAAAGATGGGCACGGTCGCAGGAGTCCGAGGACGGGGCACCAATCAGCGAGAGCTCTTGTCGGCGGCAGGAGATGGCGTAGGCGAGCCAGTCGGCCAGAGCTGCGCTGTCGTCGGAGATCGCGGGGGCACGACCGGTCGGCACAAAATACAGACAGCGAGACAGCTCTTTCTACTTAATAAGCGAAGAGAAAGCGAGAACTTTATAGCGGCCGGAAAACTGTTTTCGCGCGCGTCAGAACCGTTCGCATTTGTTCTGCCCATCCTTCATGTCATAACCGCCATCACCGCTTTTAACGTAATACATTTCTATTTGCCCTTTCCTGGGCTACTGACAATTGTGCCTAATTCAAGTGGCGCATGCACAACACGGAAAATAAATTGTCTACACATTTTCCAACCGCTGTTTTAACACCTAGAAACTACATGAGAAACTACCCCCTGGCTACGCCACTGAAGGAAATCGCTCAATAATACATCGCTTCTCACACACAAGATCAAGATTTAGCAACACAAAATAAAGAAGCGTGCTGCTTTTTTTGCTGCGCGCGAACGTTAAACAAAAGCGTTGTTACCTCTGGTGTAAGCAGGAGGTGGGGTGCGAGGTTCAAACCTTCCCGTACTTCAACCACCTCAAGGGTCTGCTGGTGGTCATCAAGTCGTCTGGATGTGGGAGATGTGGACAATGGGAAAGCATTGGTGCATCGAGGTCCGTAGTGGTCGTGCCAGCCCAACAACAATACAGATTGTATTAGTTCATGTTCAAAGATTAAGATGAAGCGTATCGAAGGCGCAGGCAGTGTAAGAGCACAAAACGGCGCTGTTCCGTCCCCCGCCTTCCACTGTCCACGTCTTTGGTGCGCTTTATACTCATTTTTGAGAATGAATCTTTCGCCATCTGCTTGTATTTGTCAACGTCCAACAAGGCTGCAACTATATGTCTATAAACTATTCATGCGTATATAGGTTTCGCTTTCGTGCTGTGAGACGTACGTAGAGCCTGCGTTCACGACAGTTTACCCTTTGGTCCAACGCAGTGAGCAGGTCCGCGCGGCGTCCGACGGCAGCGCTGCGGCCAACAACGCGGCGTCAGGTGGCCGCGCGGCGAAGGAGGGCGACGACGTGTCCCTGTACGGCACCCCCAAGGAAGAGCTGGGGCCCGGCGGCGGCGCGGGCCTGTCCGAGGCCAAGGCGTCCTTCATGCGCAACCAACTGGAGGCCCTGTTCCAGCCGTCCGACAACAAGCTGGCCATGAAGCTGTTCGGATCCAAGAAAGCGCTCATGAAAGAGCGCATCCGGCAAAAGGCCGCCGGACACTGGATCATTCACCCGTGCAGCAATTTCAGGTACGCACACCACCTCTGGCTTTAAACAAACGCTAGATGATTTCTTGTATTTGCGATTGTCTTCGGTGTCTAGTTCTTTCTGCGGTGGCTGCATTTTCGATCGAAGCGGAAATGTTTGGTACCCGATTTAGGTGCACGTTAAAGAATCCGAAGTGGTCAAAATTTTCGAAGTCCTCCACAGGGCGTCTCTCGTAATCATATCGTCGTTTTGGGACGCTAAACGCCAGATATGTCTAGTTCTTCCTATCCTTACTATTTGTCCGTTTATTTCCTTCCATCTCGAACATTAGGCAGGCGTGACGAGCGGTCGTATTCAAAGCAATGTTTACTTTCATTTCTGTCATATGGCTGCCGCTGTTATACACGAAGGGTGGTCAATGAAAAATTATCACTTTGACTAGAACACTCCAAAGTATGGATCTCGCAACGAGCGGCCAAAATCCTGCGCAATAGAAAATGCTATCAAGAGGCAGAGCTTCAAACCAGACTCCTGTGGTTCCCGGCTCATATGCATGGGAGATATATATCGGAGACACACCGCAACCTAAACAAGGCGGTACACGCCGAGGCGCGCGAAATCGTGAACCGCGCCGGCGACCGTCCTCTGTGGGGAAACACCAAAGAACGTTTGACGACCTATAACAAAATTACCAGGGCTTTCTACCTGGCCCGCCGAACCTTTCCTCCACCCAGCGAGAAGCTGAACAGGATGCAGGTGGCGTCCCTACGACAGCTGCAGACGCACACGTATCCCAACCCATCACTCTTTAACCGACTATACCCCAATATATATTCGACGAATATATGCAAGATATGCCATATTGCCCCAGCCCCAGCCTCGGCGACCAACTCTGGGCCGTCTAGCAGGCCTGCGAGGAGGTGCTCAGAAAAGGTCTTGATGTCCCCACGCGGGAGACCTAAGGGCCGGTCGGCAAAAGCTCTGCCGGACTACCAATAAAGTTGTTACAAACCAACCAACTAGAACGCGTATTATGAAGTATTTGAGCGTGTTTTGTGGAACTGTAACTTAACAATGCGACAAAAAATTGTATTACTTTTTCGCGTCACTTGAGGTTATCCTCACTGAGCCATGTAGCAACACACTGCTGCCGTCTGAGCCTCAGGCTCGACGAGTTCTACATAAGAGAACGCAGCCTCCTTGTGGATTCCGCTGCTCGGTCACAAAGCGTTCAATTGTCAATTCAAGGCAACCCGATTTCCCACACCCGTTTTAGAATCACGTCGCACTTCACTGAAGAGCATGCGAGGATAATTGTTTTCATCACTCCAGTCTTCTTTTGCACCCCCTGTGAGGAGTAGTCTTTCATGGAGTCAAGGCTTAGAAAGCTATAACGCCAAGAACAAACCGACTCCCGAGCATTGGATACTCAAGAAAGTCTTCCGCAGAATTAGCAAGCGCACTCACCGAGGCGCAGCAGAGCGCACGCTCCAGATTGCAAGCGCCCCCTCGTAAAGCTCCGCGTTCGCTAACTGCGGGTCTCCTGTACCCGGGTCTTTATACGGATGTTATGCAAATAGCTCGTTCGTCACTCTCTGCGCGCTACAAGAGAAATAAATTGGAATAAATTGGGCGCTACAGCGGCACTCATCTGGCGACGAGTACGAGCTGGTTCCTGCGCGCTTCTTCGAAACAATGACATTGCGACGAGCGCTCTGACTGCGAAAGCGATCTTCGAGGGAAAGGATGTTCAGGCACACTCAATGCAGCCGTAATGGATTCGCGATCGGGCTTTAATGACGAATTGCGTAGCCCCACTGACTCACACGGGTGGGGTGTTCGCGTGAATGAAGACACGGGTCACGAGAGCGAGGCTGGGAAAAGGTTTAAGCGGGTGACAGGCGATTAAGGCAATGTCAAGCCACGAGACGACATAACAAGAAAAGTGCGTACGAGGCGACGACTAAGTTAAGCGGTCATTGTACTATCGAGACATATCTATCCTCAAGTCGCACCGCACGGGGCGGATAGCTTCTCGCCCGTCTTCCATTGGCCTCTTGCCGCTCTCTCACCGGAAGAGAGGGGCAGAAAACCATCCGCCATTTGCGGTGCAACCGCGTAGCTTGAGAACAAACAGTACTCTGTGGAAATCAATGCACTGATCGACAAGGGAAGCGAAGACAGGCTATGCGTTTTGTAACGAGAAAGGAAAAGAAGCAACGAGTGTGGCGCGTTTAGTTGTTACCAACGTGTGGTGTTGTATAACTAATAGTTTTCTTTTTTGCATTTAGGCGAGCACACTGTTGACAAACGAGAGCGACGACCGTTGGAAGATCCACAGAGCATCGTGTTGCATCCTCGAAAGGAGGCCCTCGGGAGGCGCGACTGCGTTATGAAAACTGCGACCGCTAACGAACCATTACAAAGAACGACACGGTGCACAAACCGAGGAGCGTTTTTGTTTTGCGAAACCACCCACGACAAAGCGAGACAACGCTCCGACAGGACCGACCGACTGGAAAATGCGATTGCTACTCTATGACGCGCGAGAACAAATAGGGCCTGTGAAGCAACAATGGCCCTGACGAAACGGTGCTTTTTCGACGAGTGTCTTAAACACGAGTGCTGCCTCGTTAAAGCTGCATCATGCATGCGAACGAGCTTTACCTATACAGTTGCTAACAATATTGCACTCGTACGCACATCTGTCAGTGAAACGCGAGAGTTTCGTCAGGCGCCCGTGTAAAAGTCAGCGTTATCTTGCAGTCCTGTCTGCGCCGCCTGTACAATGCAGACATTGCGGTAAGGACGAAGATACGGCTACCGCTTTTGGCAGCAGTGACGTTATCGATCCGTCCTTTTCGTCGATGGCGTTGCTATTTTCGTGCATCGAAAAAGCTATAGATGCGCCGCAGCAATCGTATAATCAAGAAATTAACGGTTAGAGTTAACAACGGCAACAAGGCAGCAAACTACGTGTAGATAATTAATGTTCCACTGTAATGAAACGCTATTGCCTTCAGCGAATAATTTAGTAACGGCAGCGTGCTCTAACGCCGGAAAACCACACAAGACTCGTGTAAGGTCATGCGGTAGGCTGATATTTTCGCTTCTAGTTTATGGCCAGTCGCCTGTTAGGAGACACCCGTGTCTCTACGCCGGCCCTATAGGTATGAAGTAAATGCAGCAATTAGTTGTTTTCCCCTTGTGATGGATGGATGGGAAAACCTCATTGATGTCTACCATAGGTCGAGCTGCTTCCTGGCCCGAAACGGTCCGCTCCCACGTTAAGATCGAAAGGTCTAGCCTTGCGGCCGTTAGAGTTGCTTTAGGGGCGAAGCTCCTTAAGCCGTTGCTCGTGCGTCCGCAGTGTATGTATGTATGTAGTAGTAGTAGTAGTAGTAGTAGTAGTAGTAGTAGTAGTAGTAGTAGCAGCAGTAGTAGTACTAGTAGTAGTAGTAGTAGTAGTGGTGGTAGTAGTAGTAGTAGTAGTAGTAGTAGTAGTAGTAGTAGTAGTAGTAGTAGTAGTAAGTAGCCACCTCGATGGTCGGACTAGAGGAGCGGCACGCGCACACTCTTTTGAATTGAGGAGGAAAACCCGCGCACGTTAATCATAAATAAAAAGATAGTTGTTTCTGGTGAACAAACATTCAGAAACAAGTATGGTTGACCTAATCTCCAATAAAATTTGCCTTTAATTTGATGCTTACTAGAAAAAAAACTAGTAACAGAAAAACGCACTTTGAGCATTATCTGACCAGAAAAGGTTGCCACGTTAAACACGCTGGGCGTAACCTCCTTGGTTTTAGCAAGGTTTGGCGAGGGTTGGGCCGCAGTGCCATGAACTAGCGGCGGTATAGGAGGGAACTAGAAACGAAACGCAGGCCGTAAGAGAGTGCGCGCGTGCCGCACCTCAAGTCCAGCCATGTCACCTCTCGTTTATTCCTTGGAATGTCCGCTGGAAGGCGGTACTTCTATATGATGAAAAGACGCGAGATGGTGGTACTTGGAGTGTTTACTAGATGTACGGACGGATGAACAGACGCACGGACGGACGGACAAACAAATTCACGTGCACATGCACGGATGGACCGACGCACAGGCGGACGGACGAACGCTGGGACGGACGGATACACGGACGAATGGATGCACGGAGAGATGGACGGACGCACAGACCGATGGACGCACGAAAGAAAGGACGGGCACATGGACGGACGGATGGTGGATGGACGCACGGACGGTCACACAGACGGACGCGCGGATGGACGGAAGCAAGAACGGACGGATGGCTGCACAGACGGACTGACAGACGTTTCGCCCCACTCATCACCATACACTCCGTGGATATGCTGTGATTTTTTTCTAGTGTGAGACTGCATAGGCCTGCGTCGCACCACTCTTCAGTATTATTCTTGCCGCTATGTAACGCTGAGAGACGTCGGAGCATATGGCACAGATCTATAGTGTCATTACATTTATCTTATGTTGCAGAACTAGAAACCACCAGACATATTTTATTGATTAATGTGATCTTGTTTAATGTTGATTAATGAGTTATTATCCACAAGTACCCTAGTGTACGTGATGCGATGATAAGTTAAACCAGAAGAAACGCAGGTTTTCAGGAAGTTGCTTTATACATAGTCACAAATTATGAGATTTGTCATTTCTAGTATATTCTGCACTTACCATTGCCCTGCTCTGAGTGATCTGATCTTTTTTATTTATTCAGATATGCCACAGGCCATACTAGGCCCATGCAGGAGTGGGCACATAAGTACATGAAAACACATACCTTGTCAAAAATTCATGGTGCAAGTTTGATACACTGTATTAGGTTCGTGGTAAATAGCATTGGAGAGATTGTGTCCCTCCACCTTACACCCTTCTTGATTGGTATTCTGTTGCTTTCTTTATGAAGCACTATGGTAGCAGTTGATACCCTGTAGATTTCTTCCAGGATGTTTATATATACTTCATCGACGCCCTGATTCCGCAGTGTCTGCATGACGGCTGATATTTCTACTGAATCAAACGCCTT